TGTGTGTGTGTGTGTGTGTGTGGGATAGTGTGTTGGTATCTCTTACATTGGACATATATTCTTGTCTATAACTCATTCTGTTGCGTAGACCATCGTCTCGCTCATTCGAAGATAGATCATATTCTTTCAGCACTCAGGCGTGTGAGTGTGTACGTATATCTTACAGTTTGTTCTAAAGGTTGTTTGAGGTAGTGATGTAGGTGTAGTATATATCTATCTTAATCGATCTATCACATTGATAGATATCATGCCACACACCCGTGTTTGTGTGTCTCCATCGCAAACGTACCTGTCTCCCGGTCCGATTCTTTCCCTTTCTGGTCATACCATAAAAGTATTATGAACCTCAATAAGATAGTCCAGTCTCCTCATAAGAAGTTCGGGTTGGTCTAGACGTATCACTGGCGACGACAAATCAAGTTTCTTGAAGTTGTAAACTAAGTTTCCACCTCTCGTATTTCCTTCAATTATACCTACGCAGTGATATCTACGCCACTAACGACGACGGAGACAATGATGCCGTCTCGGTATGTTCGTATGTTGGGAGCGGTGCCGCTTTTGTTTGCACATACATGTGAAACGAACGAACGCGCTGAGTTATATACATTGTACTATGTAGGGATGCTCATCAGGATGTTTCCTATTGTAACTGTACACCTTTTTTCATATATTCTATACACTGTTTATTCATATATGTTTATTCATATATGCTTGTTCCTATATGTTTATTCATATATGTTTATTCATATATGTTTATTCGTATATGTTTATTACATATATGCTTAATCATATATGTTTATTCATATATGTTTATTCATTTATGTTTATTCATGCATGTTTATTATGATGTGTTTATTCATATGTTTATTAATATGTGTTCATTCATATATGTTTATTCATCTGTATGTTGGTTTATTCATGTGTCTATTCATATGTACATTAGGCTGTCTGTTTTGAGGCTATTCACACTCGCTATAGCACAACACCGTAAAGTTTGCCGACTATACGAGAAATAACCGCTACCCCTCAAAAGCGCGTCTATATATGGATCGATCTATTAATAGATTGTGATGTACACTTTCGATCGCAGGTAGAGATAGACCTCGCGCAAAACGCATTCGGAAATGCATCCCAATACCACTCCAAGAAAAAACAAGCCAAAGAGAAGGAGAAACGTACTGCTGACACCTCTCAAAAGGCCATCAAATCAGTAGAAAAGGCTACCAAGGAGAAGGTCAAGGATCTGCAACTGAGAACCGAGATTGCCAAGTCACGCAAAGTGCTGTGGTTTGAAAAGGTATGATGTATATATATATATATATACATTTATATATACATATATATACATATATGTATAT